AAGTAAAGGTAGTGCGGGACTACTACCATTATTCTTGAATTGTGGAGATGATACACACCTAATTCATAAAATGTGAAAAAAAAATGGTGTGGACAATTGTGCGAAAAAATAGTTGCAATAAATAGGCCATATGGAGAGTTGGTACAAAAATCTGACATTCCTGGACAGTGTTTTTGCATTATGTATAATGACTGTCTGAACTATGGGAGCAATGGTAAAAATCATGATAATAAACATACCAAAGATGAATAGTTTGTGAAATTATTCACAGCACAACTAAATTAAAATAATCAAACTCTTTCAGATGCTGAGCCAACAGCAGTGGGAATAAGGAGAACAGATCATGTAGAAAACTTCAAGTTATTAACTTGTGCTTTTATTAGTTGACTCTGACATTTGCCATTATTTCAGAACAGTTGTGAGTTGCAGAGGACAAACAAGCACTCACTGAACTTCACGTGTTAAGGATGTGTAGAATATACGCAAACACACATGGGTTTGCAAAGGGCTTAAAAACAGAATTTGTAGTAGTTTAAAGAATATACTGATATATTTGTTAAATGCTTATAAAAGTTTAGAATCGATATATGTGTTTCTGACATAATTATGCACAGTTTGCATTTTTAATAGATTTCATAAATGCCTTTTTTGTATTTGTTACTTTGGAAAGTCAACTGTTAAAATGTAATCACAGCAATTTGAATAGCAAAAATAAGCAATTTGGGCAGATTATCCTTGTTGTTTTTAGTTTTGGATGCTGCTTGTTTATTGCTGGAAACAAAATTTTTTGTCTAGTATGTTTATAATAAATTAAGTGATTTAATAAAAAAAGTCATTTAATATCTTTTTATGGTTAAAAACAATACATAATTTCTTGTTTTCTTTAACTAAGAAATGAAATTTATAAGACATATTCTGGATTTCCCAGTAATCTTTCATGCAAATCTGTTTTTCAACATTTTAGATTTGTTTTGTACCATTTATTTTAAAAAGAAAAAATTCCAGTCCATTTTGTGATGATCTAAGAGATTTTTCAGTACTGGTTTTCCATTTGATTTCAAGTGAATTTTCATTATTATTATTATTATTTTCTGTTATAGTGCAAGCAAAGATTTAGGAAACAAAGATGATGGCTGCTGCTCCTGTAATTTAGAAATAATCAGAATGAGCTCTGATGAGGAGGACAGTCCAAGTCCTGGCAATAGTAGACAGCAAAATATATGTAAACAAACAAGGGTAATTGAGGAGGACTATGATGGTAGTCTTGAGAATGATAATTTTTCAAGGGAGCATTGTAGTAGAGAATTGTTATCAACTAGAAGAAGGAAAATGGAGTCTTTTGTGAAGCCAGACAAAGAAGCTGACAATATAGTTACCACAAAAATGAGAACACATTATGATGATGAATGTTGTGGTGCTAAAAAACTGAAGATTGTTGAAGATTTATGTGAGAATGTAAAAAACAATAATGAAACAGAATATAAAAATGACACTGGTGATGAGAAAGAAGATGAAATTGATTGGAAACTGAATGATGGTGAGACTTGCCTTCATTAAAGGATTTTTTTTAGTATGGTTTAATTTATTAATAATTTTCATAAAACTTTTCTTTAAAATTTAGCCTGTTTTAAGTGTTACCATAACTTGCAATATTTGTTTTATGTTAGGCTTGATTTTCCTGATTGGTAGACAGTTTGTTCAATCCCCTGGTCACTAGAGTCTAAAATAATAAACAATTAATTGAGGCTATAATAATAATATGTGGTAAATATAAAGAAAAAAATATATTTTTTTAATGTAGTGGGTTAATCTGTAGATTCCAAAATTGGGTGGTTACAATCTAATTTACTAACTTAAGAAAAAAGAAAATTTTAGAGAAATGACAGAATTTAGGATTAAAAGTAGAAAGTTAAGTAAGAAACTTACAGAATAAGTGAATAAAGGAGATCGTAGGTAAAAAACAAAAAGTATAGTTTGCTCTCTTACCATAATGGACGTAGCATGTATGTCAGTATCTGTGTATGTAACCAAAACCCTGTGCCATCAATTGAATGGCACCACAAACAAAAATCCATTAAAAATTCACACTTTGGATATTCAAGTTTCAGAGAATTAGAAAAAAATATATTTCTTTATAATAGGACACAATTTTAAATAAAAGTATTCTCCTTACAACAAAAACATGACTCTCACTAGGACTGTACGTGAGGGTTTGATTATATCTTTATTGACGTAATTTTTAAATGTAGTACTGATGAATTGGAGTTTTTAATATATAAAAACATTGCAGTTTATATCAGTAAAATTATTGAAAATTTTGAGCTCTGTACATTGAATCATTTTGATGCAATGAGTTGCGTATGACTAAATAGTACAATCCGAACACTTTTCCCGTGCAGTACGTCCCAGAAAAAATACTTTTTTAGAAAATGTTCACTTTTCTAAGTTTTTTTTCAATGAAGTATGAATACTACGTTTAGTAATTATTAGTAGAAACAGCCGCCCGTAGGGCGACGTCTCTACTAGTATAGTAATGTCACCTTTGTACTTAAAATGTTTTTATAAAGAATGTCGTAAAGATATCGAACACAAAAGTAAGTCAATAATACAACAAATAACACTTAAATAAATTTATACCAATATCTTATTAGCACAGATGTCATATAATGTTCTCACAAACATCATAGTTTCATATATCGGCGTTTCGACTTGTGTTTTGCACATTGTAATCCATATGTTTTAGTTAACTTTGATACTGTCAGATGCGCTTAAGCTTTAGTTTTCCATGTTAGAATTAATTATCATAATACCTACTTTCCAGAAATACGCAGTACAAGTTTTAATTGTTTTCAAATGTTCACCTATCTATTTGGTTTCAAATGTCGTCTCAGTTTTCTCTTCTACACGTTACTTGTTAAACAAAATAGCCGAGAAGTTAAATCACATATAACCTTAACATATACAATGTACTGAATCGTTTATTAAAACTAGAAACTTTATAAAATAAGTTTGAAAAGTCGAAGTTTTTGGAATATTTAATTCACGAAACGTTTGTGTGTAAAGTTCCATGGTGCTTTTTTTTTTCTTCTTCTTCTCTAAAACTTTTTTAACATCACTAATTGAACATTGTTCATCCGACTAATATTAACTGTTTTTAATAAGAAATTTTAACAACTTTTTTAACATCACTAATTGAACATTGTTCATCCGACTAATATTAACTGTTTTTAATAAGAAATTTTAACAACTTTTTTAACATCACTAATTGAACATTGTTCATCCGACTAATATTAACTGTTTTTAATAAGAAATTTTAACAACTTTTTTAACATCACTAATTGAACATTGTTCATCCGACTAATATTAACTGTTTTTAATAAGAAATTTTAACAACTTTTTTAACATCACTAATTGAACATTGTTCATCCGACTAATATTAACTGTTTTTAATAAGAAATTTTTAACAACTTTTCCTTTGGTTTAACTTTGACGATTACCAACAATGACTGGAATGTTTCCAGAAAACCACTTAAAAACTCAAAAAAGTGTCCCGAAACCAAAAATAGCTGAAACCTTTTGATACTTTGTTTTTCTTTTTTGTTGCGGCTGAATGAATTATTAGGAAAGTCGATTGGCTCATTACTGGTGTTTATCTAGTTAACATGATACAATGGAATCTTACCATGACAAAATACATTTAATTTGGAAAACAAACAACCATTGTACTGTTTTAAACATTTCAATCACGTAAATCGAGGCGAACTGATTTTGTGCTTTGTAACGAATGTCTAGTTTTGGTGAATTTTTGCTGCATTTTGTCTGTCTTGTAGTTTTTCTTGGGCCCGGCATGGCCAGGTGGTTAGGACGCTCGACTCGCAAGCTGTGGGTTCGAATCCCCGTCACACCAAACATGTTCGCCCTTTCAGCCGTTGGGGCGTTATAATGTGACGTTCAATCAACTATTCGTTGGTAAAAGAGTAGCCCAAGAGTTGGCGGTGGGTGGTGATGACTAGCTGCCATCCCTCTAGTCATACACTGTTAAACTAGGGACGGCTAGCGCAGATAGCCCTCGTGTAGCTTTGCGCGAAATAAAAAAACAACAAAAAACAGTTTTTCTTGATATTGGAATGACAAGTTATGAACTAATATGTGATATATATATATCTCGAAGAATTTTGTTCTTTGCAGTATTGTAGTTAGAACAATTAATAAAATGTTGAAAATTGCACGATGGCTTCTTAGTTGAAATTGAATAAATGCACATTCCATAGTGACAGAAATGTGTCTCATTACTCATTGTTTATTTTTCAACTGTTCAAAGTCAATTGTGATTTTCGATAAATCATCTGATATTTATTTTTTATAGTAAGGTATATATATATATATATATTCTTAAAAGTTTGCTTTATCTCGCTGCATCTTTCAATAGTAAGCCTTTAAAAACTGAGTCATAGCAGTGTCATGTGTTTACTTCCTTTATGATATCGGCTCTCAAGGCTGACCTGTCAATATTGCTTCTAATCGACCACATGGAAGAACAGGTAACCAACCACTGCTTGACCCGTTGTACTACACGGCATAGCTTTAATAAATGTTAACTCTAGTTTCTTCCCTCCTGGGCATAAGAGTAGCGTGACGTCTGATGCTAGTCAGTCTACTGGAACACTTGCGGAGACCTGGAACGGAGAGTAGGTGACTAGGAAGTGTATTGCATAAATTGAACAGGCGGCCCTCACGTGACACAAGAACTAAGATCACTGTAGCGATAGGTCTGTTCTCAACGACTAGTGTTGGAAATGAAGTACTTGTAGTGTTTACTAACATTCGCCTGACACCATTATAATGTTGCAGTATGTATGCCTTGCTAACATAGGAATCAAACTGAGGTAGGGTTTTGTATGCGCACAAACGTTCGTAGGGCTTATGTTTATACAGCAGGTATTTTCGTTAAAGTTGAAGGGTTAAAACTACATTAGAACTAAATTTTCTTGAACATATATTTCATCAGTATAAATACTAAAGGAAAGACAGACAACGTAAATAGTCTGTACAGAGCATGAGAATAGTTAAACAGTCATGAGTCCTCAACCACCTTTATCCCTTGACCTTCAGCAATATATAGGAACCAACCTTATTTCACACCATCTTCGAGAAAATAAGAAAGGACGGAAGAATGAAAAAATAGACTTCAAAAACAATTGCCGGACACGAAGAAATTCTGGTGGCATTATTGTACCAGTCTGTAATTGTTGTGGAGGAGTTCAGATCCAAAAATCCAGCAACTTTACAGAATTTCAGAATTATGCATGGACTGGCGTGCCACTGATCAGCATGGCCAAGGGACGCCCAAGACAACCACAGTACAGTAATAACACCAGATCCCAGACTTGGCCTAACTTTTCAGATTATGAATACAGTAAAAAATCTAAAGTGGGTGGAAGTGTACCTCCTAAATACTACGGTAAAGCTAAGTATAACATAGAGGTTACTGAAAATGAATTGTCGTCTATGTCGAAGCTGGCACTTCACACTCAGGGTTCTCCCTTGGTTGTTTCTAGAGAAGACATTATAACCAAAGAAGACCCGAACTTAACAACAAAAACACTGAAGGGAAGAAGCTTATACGTGGGAAGTGAACTCTACCTCCATCCACAACACCTCTGGATCAAGAACGACGCTGCTGCGTTGACTAGAATAGGTGAAGCTTGTTCTGATAGTATTCGGTTTGAGTTAAGACCGACACCAGTATTGGATGAAACTGACTCTGTCAGCGGGGAATCAGATATGAAATCGGAACCTGATTTAAACGAATCCAGTGCATTTCAACAAAGCGACAATGTGAGTATTACTTCCGATTCTTCTGGTTCCTCCGATTATAGTCTTCCAAGAATTATAAAGCCAAGAAAGCGCAGGAAACGAGACCGTAAAATAAACGAATTCAAAGGTCAAAATATAGGCGTAATCTTAACACTAAAGCCGTACCAACCACTCTGTTTTCCTTACGCTGATAGGTTGAAGAAAACTAAGAAAATTTCTTCCTGCAACAGTACTTCTAGCAGTCTTGTTTATTCGGCAGGATCAGAACATAGACTGGAAAGTATCTTTGGATCACTAACGATGACCGAGCCTTCACTTTACCCATACCCTCCATCTTCATTATGTTCTTGTAGACGTTGCATCACTCAATCCACCTTTCTTTCTTCTCCTCTCCATTCATTTGAAAACCTTAATGAAATCACGAAAGAATCTCTCCAAGAGTCGGTATGCGAAGTGTCCACTCGCATTGTTACCTCACCATGTGGAAGTCGAGATCTAGAGATAAAATTCATTACAAGCGACCAGAAAAAAGATCCAGGTTACCAGTTGAAAAAAGAAGCTACAACACACTCAACTCCAAAGTGTAAGTATGCCTGATTTTTCTTAGCCATTAAAACATTTATTGCTTTATATGTAGAAAAAAGTACTTGTAGGTTGGTAAATGTTTGACTGTATAGTATGTTGCACGATTTTAAGTAAGATATATAGGTCAGTACAATGTTTTCTGATAGCTGTTCGTTTCTAACATAACCAAAAGTTAACAATTGGCAGGCCCGGCATTGCCAGGTGTTAGGGCGCTTGATTCACAATCTTATGGTCGTGGGTTCGAATCCGTTCAGCCGTGGTGACCGTATAAGTGACAGTCAATCCCACCATTCGTTGATAAAAGAGTAGCCCAAGAGTTGGCGGTGGGTGGTGATGACTAGCTGCCTTCTCTCTTGTCATTCACTGTTAAATTAAGGACGGCTAGCGCAGAAAGCCCTCATATAGCTTTGCGCGAAATTCAAAAACAAACAAACAACTGGCAAAGGAGTATACAGAAATCACCCCCATCTAGCCACATGCACTTGACTTTACTTTGTGAAATCTGACATTTGGTGTAAGTTTTAAACGAGAGTCTTACTTTTGGGATGATGTTTGTAATAATTAGTCACGATATTTCAAACCTTTCTAAAATATATCATACTTCGTTGTTATATAAAACTAATTAGGTACATGACATAGTAAAAAAAGTGAACAACTGAGTAAAACGTTTACACATACATTTATAGCACTTTTATCTTTTTTTAATGGAAAAAAAATTCACACATGAATTTCAATCTTATACTAATAATAAATTGATTCTAGGAACATTCCTTTTTAAATCGTCTGCTAGAAACACGTTCTAGAAAGACTTGTTTGAAAATCTAATGGATATAAGAACTTGTATGGGAACTCTCATAAAAATAGATTAATATTATTATAAACAAATCATTAGATAAAAAAAATATATTAGAATGCGTGGAAAATAAGCAGTACAAATATTTAATTTGTTTTGGTTTTTGTACACTTCTCTTTGGTTTCTTACTAACAACATTTTTAGTGTAAAGAGTTATTTACCTCTTCCACAACATAACCGTTTTGTCTGGAGTTTTATAAAAATTACCAAAAATTCAAAAATCTGACTTGCGCAATCTTGCGCGAAACCCTTGTTTATTTCTTTTGTTCAAATATCTTAAATTTAGTGCTTCATCTTTATAAGTCGACAGTGAATTGGTGTGAAAGACATTAATTAATTTGGTAAAATAAAGCATAAATTACATTTTTAATAAAGAAGTGTAACATTATGCAAACCAAACCATATTCACAGCGTTTTTGACCTCTTTTAACCAATGATCGTTGATGACCAGAAATCGAGGTCATACGTGATGCTTAAAGTGATTAAACCAAACATCAAACTTTGATGCAAACTAACCGTTAGTCTGTTTTACCAGGTTGAGAAAATGTTGTCATGGGATACAACGAATACCCGGATGTACGTGTTTCATGACAATGTGTTCCTGTTTAAACACGGTTTACTGAACCTTAAGCACACAGTTTTCCTGGGGAAACATTATACTATATAATGAGTTAAATATAGTTTTCTGTTTGACCGTTTTTTCCTGTAGCGATTATGACTACGCTACGTTGTTGTACGATACAGGTTAATCCACTATAACAACTGTGCTTCTACTTTACTACGAAATTAGGCTTGAAGCAGAAGAACAACTAAATCGGTAAATTACGTCTAACAGCACAAAAACTAGTCCTATCATCAGTGGGCAAGGAAGATAATTATTGGCCCATGAGCGTTCTTATAAGGTTATACGTATTGTAACATACATGATTTGAACTGTTAAGTAAATAGAGGTCAGGGGTAGGGAATAATCCATTGTACAAATACAGTGCATAGAGAAACAGAAATACATGTGGCCGATGGTTTCAATTCCCGTTTATAGTATTTTATATTTAATGGCAAACAAGTTACATTAGTATATTAGTACCCGAAATATCCAGAGACGTCTCATAATTGAGAATTGTCATCATATGGTGAGATAATATATTTACAAACGTTAGAAGTAAGAGATGTTCTCATGATACTTAGGTGAAACAACAAAAAGATTGAAGTAAAAATCGGTACTGCATTAGCTTAAAAACTGCACACACACACACACCTCCAAGTGGCACAGCGGTATATCTGCGGACTTACAAAGCTAGAAACCTGGTTTCGATACCCGTGGTGGGCAGAGCACATATAGCCCATTGTGTAGCTTTGTGCTTACCTACAAAGTAAACAAGCTTAAAATTATGTAAATCAGTTTTAAAGCTAGAACAAATTATGTAACTTGGTATTTTATACGTTTATTGCAAGATAACGACATTCTTGATATGATGTCATTAGATTCTTTAAACTACAATATAGTATCGAAGTTATGGTATTGCTCCACTTTCTAATTTCTATTTTCGTACGTGGCTTTGTATCCAGACAGTTCGCGCCCATCATAAAGATAAATAAATAGGAACCATCAGAACAAAAGACTGCTTATTGTTAATCTTAAAGCTACACAATGGGTTATCTGTGCTGTGCAAATCGCGAATATCGAAACTCGATTTTTAGCGTTATAAGTCCTCAAACCTACCGCTGAACTACTGGAGGCCGGAATAAAAGTACCCATGCGATTTTTTTTATCTCTTAATTCTGTTGCATGTCCTCTTTCCTTTCTAACAGCTTGTTCACGTAACTGCTAGTTGTTTAGCATGTTATGTCAATATATAATAAGCAAAATGGTATCAAATAAAGTAATTAATGAAAATCAAAATCTATTTCAAATTGGCAAAGAAAACATCATTATTCCGTATGGTATGGAATATTATAAATTCGATACAATTTCCTATACACCTTTACTATTCGAAAATGTATTTATTCACATCTTTTTGCGACTATTTTTATTCTATTGTGGACCTAGAGTTAGATGTACTTGCTTTATACAGTAGCACATAACACTCTCTTATACATACATAGTTTATTCTTTATAACCGGACTGCCTACTTTATCGGAAGAGCGGAACCTACCAATGGTTTAAACTTTGAAAAACAACTGCATATTTTTTTTTTTTTTTGTACTCGGGCATTCGCAGGAACACCTATGTTGTATGACGAGTGAATCTCGTTCAGGTGGAGGGCTGTCCAGTGCCGTTTTCCTGGTTTGGTTTCTTGCTTACCAGAAAACTACGCCCGTTTCAAGGTGAGGTCAACGAACCCGGCTTACCTGACCTCGTCCAGTCGACCGTTCCGTTAACTCTTCTTTGTTCAAAGCCATAACGGTACTTCGTCTCACGCAAGACATAGCTTATTTTCTTTGTTGACATATGTTTGTTTGTTGTTTTGAAAGCAGAGGTGGTTTCGGCTCCACCCTCAGAACGCTATATCTTAGATCACTGAATGAATGGAAAAAGAGATAAAGTTTCAACAATAGCACGTGAAGTTCAAATTCCGCTAATTTACCAGTGAAAAGTCGATTTCAGACTTGTCATTTCACTGCATGAATAAGTTTAACTATCTTAGTAGATAATTGTTTCATTTCCTCTTTGCAACACATGTCGATTATAAACAAGAAGAATACTTTTCATATAATTTCATAAAATTGTTGTCCCAAACGAATCCAAGCTAAGAATTTGTCAAAAAAAAATCAATAAAAGTTGTGAAAATTAGAAGTACAAAGAGAGGTAAGATATCACTATAAATCTGTAGCTGTTTACGAATTTACTACAAAACGTTGAATTGCGAACATCTGGTTTGTTTAAATGAACCTGATGATGACAAAACCTTGTTGAAACGTTGTACATTTGCTGTTATGTTAAACTTATATTAAAGTTTTTCTTCATTACCCATTCAAGCCGTCTCCAACCATTATTAGTCACAAAGTGGGTTCCTCGTCATCGAATCTGGTTTGTTTATTTGTTTTGTTGTTAAGCGTAAAGTCATGCAATAGGCTATTTGTACTCTGTCCACCACCAGGGAAGTAGCAAAGGGGTGGCGAACCCCAGCAATATTCCATTTGTCAGCAAAATTCCAGTTTTTCTGCGAATTCTGGAATAAATAGATAATTTCTTGTTGCGACGAAATTTTAGGCAAACAGCAAAAAATGTCGAGAAAAATTCGACAATTGTCCGGCAAAAAGTGATAAAATTCCTAATTAGATCACGTGACGCGAACTAGTCCGCCGGCGGTTTTGATAGTTTTAACAATTTCTTTCCGTCTATATTTTTTCCTTTTAAGAATATTCGGAAATGCAGATTATCTTTTGCATTCGAAGTGCGATATATTGTTGACAAAATTCAATCAAGTACACCTTTCCTCAAATGTAGAGACTTCAATATTTAGCGTTATAAGCCCTCAAACTTGCTATTGAGCCACCAGAGGGCAGCAATATTTGAATTTGTTTGTCATTAAGCACAAAGCTACACAATGGGCTATCTATGCTCTGCCCACCACGGGTATCGAAACCCGAATTCTACCATTGTAAGTCCGCAGGCATACCGCTGTGTCACTGGGGGACTAATATTTGTGAATTCAAAAATAAATTTGTCGAACAAAACTACTGTTAAGTGCTAAACTGTGTCTACTGTTACGTGATGTAAAAACCAAGTATTTTTATTGTTTTTTTTTAATGATATAATATTGTAATAAATAAGTAGTGTTTCAAAATTGTTTGTTCTTTGGCACTCTATTGTATATTTACATATTAATTCTTAAAGAGAATAAACCTTTTGGGCAAATATATCACTACCGTTTTTAAATAAATCGTTCCACAAATCAAATCCATCATTGCCTGGTTGCAAGCTAACAGGTGCATCCCATATAAAACCATACGTGAAACGAACAATTAACTGAGTAAAAACATACGTGTTGCGATTATTACTAAACTTCTTTGTTTAAATCTACTGAAAACGACCTAGTTCTATCATGACGCCTATAGACGTGCGATTTATATAAATACTTGCACTGATCTTCTAATAAAAAAAAAAAACTTTTGTTTTAATGCGATGTAGCGAAGCAAACTAG